TTTTTGTGCATTGCAATGGTTCTTAAAATCAGCTGTGATGATGCATAAAAGAACCATACTTTGTTTGTTCCCCAAAGAATCTTTCAGTAGTTTATAAATAAAAGGTTTTTATTTTCACATTTTAACAGTTGTGTTTGAGACAATAATCACCTTTTCTTTTTCTTTAACACATTCAAAATAATGAACACATTCTCTCATTGACTGTGTGATTCATTGTGAATAATGTTAATTCAGCAATTTCTTTTTTTTAAAGTAATTATTTAAACTCAAAAGTAACTCGCATTACATTTTCAAAAAAGTCACTTGAATATTAATACTTATTTTTTTGCAGTAATGTTTTCCTTTGTACTTAGAAAAGTAATATTATTCTCTTATATATAATATTATTATACAATCTTCAGAACTTTATTCTATCTGAAAGAACTATTTGTGTCTTGGTCTTACAAATAAAACTTCTAATTGAAGGTTTTACAGTAAAGCCATAGAACCACAAATTTGGTTCCTCAAAGATGCTTTCCATGAAGTATTATTTTAAATCAATGCATTTGTCACCCATATTGATTATATATATGAATGATTTTGGTTCCCCTGGAACCATTTATTGAAAAGCTCTTAAAAATGTTTCTTTTAAGAGTTTTTTCCTGATGGATTTTAAATGTTCTTCCAGCCAAATCTCACGAAGAAACGTAAGTATTTTACGCTTTGTCAGTTTACTGGCTAATTCGTATGAATTACGAGTTCAGTTGTACGAAAATGTACGATTTTAAAAAGGAGGCATGGCACGCAACCCCACCCCTAACCCCAACCGTCATTGGGTGATGAGCAAATCGTACTAAACTGTACGAATTTGATCGTACGAATTCATACAAATTAGCCACTAAATCAAAAACGAATTGCCGTGAGATTCTTCAGATCCATCGATGATAACTAAAAACTATTCAACTTTACACAACCTGTTTGTTCAGTTTGTAATATATAAAAAGGTTAAATTTACAGTAGCTTTCTACTAAAAAGGGTTCTTTTAATAACAGTTTAAAAAAAAGATTCATTCGGGAACCACAAATGGTGCTTCTATGACATCCTATATATAGATATTCAGAGTGGTAGAGAATCTAAGGCTCTTGAGCCACATGTGGCTCTTTGACCAAAAATATGTGGCTCTCCAGCTGTCTTCATATAATAATATTTTACTGTTTAAAAAATTATAACCGTCACTAGAAAACTTCCTATCGGGAATACAATTACAATTCCCTCTTTACTGTAATTTTTTACAGCAAAATAAATAAGAATTGTTAATAAATCTTTCTTCATTTAAGCCCTGCTCAACATGTGATGCTTAAATTAAGGTTTTGTTGAACCCTGTATTATTTATAGTAGTAATACATTAGCAAAAGTATTTTTAAAAGAGGCATTTTGAGATAAATGTAAATCCAAATGGCTCTTTAAAAAAAGGTATTTGCTAAAAAAAATCAGAAATGGCTCTTTCTTGAAAAAAGGTTTCTGACCCCTGATCTAGATTTTTCTTGTACAATGAGCATTTTCCCTGCCTCTTATGTTTATGTTTAGTTATTTCATGTTAATATAGCTGAAAATAACCTATTTTTGACATAAAAGTGAAATTACTGAATCAAGACATATAGACGTCTGAGAAAAATGCTAATTTTAGAAGGTTTTTGCATCTGAACTTTTCATACTGTATATTGGGAAAAGTTACTTTTGAAAGTATAATAATGAGTTACTCACCTAAAAAAAGCAACTTAACCCTCTCAAGGCAGGCGTTGCTGATTTGCAACAGTTAAAAGCAGATTTTGCCTGTTTCTAAAATTTAATTTGAGCCTGAAAGGGTTAAAAGCAAGTAAAAGCAAGTTACTTTTCATAGTAAGGTACTGCGTTACGTTACTTTTGAGTTACTTTTTCTGACCAGGCTGAGGTTTTTTTTTTTCTTTCTTTCTTTTTTTAATAGAGAAGCTCTTCAATTAACAGCACGGTATAACCTTCATTTACCTTTAAAAAACACATTATTTTATTTTAGGATAATGTTTTCTGAAAACTTCCTGACCACAGGGCTATACATGCCATACTGTGTGCAGATTATGGAAAGTTTAAAGTAACGTGTTTGCAACTTTTTACTATTTGTCTTAAGTAAAATCACTGTCCATTGAGACAATAATCCCCTTTTCACTTTCTTCAATGCGTTTAAAATACTGAACACATTCTCTCACTGACTGCCGGATTGATTGTGACTACTTTAACTTTAATTCAGCAATTCGTTTTTTGAAAGCTAATCAATTACACTGACAGTAACTAGCATTACGTTTTCTGAAAAGTAACTCAAATAATATTACCTAATTTTTAAAAGTAATGCGTTACTTTATTTTACTTTTTTTTTTTTTTTGGTGCGTCAAAATTTTCCACATTATTAAAAATGAAGCTGTTAAGTTGCGGATGTAGTGATGCTATGGGTAAAAAACATCTAAAGAATTCTCTTCCACTATACCTAAGCTATTATGTCATCAAAAAAATCCCAAGCACGTTAAAGGTTTTTTCGTGGAAGCATTGATGCCAATAAACAAACTTTTCTTTGAAAAGTTTACCTGTACAGGTGGAATGCGAGAGGTGTGTCGGAAACCATCGAAATGCATGATCAGAGCACAATTAGAAACCGACATATTAATGTGTGATCCATGCAGCCCTAAGGGGAGAACTAGCTGTACAACACAATAAAACTACACCCTATGCTGACATTCTTAGGCCTTGTCAACATTCTCCGAGCCCAAATAACATACTGTACTTCTAAATTAAACTACTGAATCATAGCAATTGGTCGGTGCAAGGGAACGAATAAAAAAAGTCACAACATGCATTGGTATTCATTTTCGTTTTTCCTCGAACACAGTTCAAGCCGTGCCCATCTGACACCTCATTTTGAACTCTCGTGTAGAAGGTTCTCACCATTTGCGTGTTATTTTTCACCACACAAAAATAGAGAAGTGATGTAATTTCACACAAACCACCATTTTAGGTTTTCTTTAGCTTTTGTTGTGTTTTGTGTTGGCTGGACCTCACGATTTGCTGGAAGCTAGAAATAACTATTCATAGACTGGTACAGGTAATTGCCCCTGATACCTGCAACTTGGGGGAGAAATCCCAGGCTCCCCGGCTCGATTTGCAAATGAAAAGGTTTTAAGAGCTTAATGGCGCGTGTTTTGTTTAGAGCTTGATACTACATATACATTTGGAGCCTGCGAGAGAGTGTTGTGTTATTGTTAATGTTTCGGTCTAGTGACATGCAAATTTGATAAAGTTGTGGCTTGGGCTGCAGGTGCAAGACTCTTGCTTACATCATGACTTTAAAGACTTTAAATAACTGACTTTTGGGACTATAATAATTCTAAAAAAAACTTGTTAGTGTATTTTACATAAAGTAGTAAACTATATTCAGTTGAAGTCAGAAGTATTAGCCCCCCCTTTGAATTTTTTTTCTTTTTAAATATTTCCCAAATGATGTTTAACAGAGCAAGGAAATGTTCACAGTACATCTGATAATGTTTTTTCTTCTGGAGAAAGTCTTATTTGTTTTATTTCGGCTAGAATGAAAGCAGTTTTTAATTTTTTAACACCATTTTAAGGTCAAAATTATTAGCCCCTTTAAGCCATATTTTCGATAGTCCACAGAACAAACTATTATGTTTAGAGTGTGTTGATAAAATAATCTCTCCGTTAAACGGGAATTAGGGAGGAAATAAACAGGGAGGCTAATAATTCTGACTTCAACTGTATATAAAGGCAGATTTTGTTGACTTCATGTAAACATTTGTACATGCCACTGTACACATAGGCACATAACCAGAACTGTTTTATTCTACTTTGCATGAAAGAACATAATTATATCACTGTAAAAAAGAAAAAGCTTCACATATTTTTCTGATTTACTAGTGTCTTTAAAATGCATTATGAAGATTTTATCTCAACTTCAACAACTTTTAATGATTAAAATTTAATTAGGAAGTTTAACAAAGGGACATTTTTAGTCATTTGAAGCTATTTATTGAATAAAATGCTAAATAAAAAGGAAAAGAAAGAGAAATATAAATTCATATTAAAACTAAATTAAATACTAGCAGCAAATTAACCTGTTTTTATGCTGTAATTTACATATTTCAATAACATATTCTTACTAAATGTCAGTAAAATTACTTTACTTACTCTGAAAGTGAAAAAAATTAAAAACATTTACAAAAATCATCATTTTAGTGGTCAAACTGCAGATTTCAACCTGTTTGCATTACAGTAATAATCAATAGAAATATATATATATTAAGAAATGTTGAAGAGATCCCTTGATAAGTCATCAAACTAAAATGTTGATTTCTCACATTGTTTGATTATTACATAATCTTAAATAAAGTATTTTTAAAACACTGAAAAAGCTGAGAAAAATATCATGCTTTCATTAACTTTTTGTTGATTTTTTACTTGTAAATGTGTGGAGTAAAATACAAGCACACTGTAAAAATAATATGATCAATTAGTCATGACTTATGAAACTAAGTTAATCATGTTTTAAGTTATGGGAGTAACATAGTTCAATGGACTCACAAGGTTAATTTGATTCAGCTTAACAATTTAAGGCAACTAATATTTTCTTACAGTGCATGATAAACTGGAATAACTCAAGTTTTACTCTAGACCAAATGCATAATCTGTTATCTTACAGCACATTCTACGTTATTAAAATGCAGTAATCCCCTTTGTTGCACGAGTCTCGAGGGCTCACAGCTGCTGGTATCGACACTTTTCATCTTTGAACAACGTGTTAATGGTGTGTGTTTTTCTCCCATTCGAGTTTTTTTTTTTTTTTTTTTTTTTTTTTTTGCAAAGACAAGAGAGGGAGAGAGAATCAGAGAGGGAGAGGGAGATAGAGAGAGAGAGGAGGGATTTCTCTCGCATCATGTTGTACTCGTTTAACTCGTTTTACCGAGGGGGCGTGGAGTGACTCGGTGATTTAAAGAAGAGCCCGTGCGCTCTCAACATCCAAGACGAAAGGCGCACACGCCGGAGAGCAGCAGCTATATACCGGGGCTAAAATTAGGGACGGATAGTGCGTATTTCCTCCGCTTCTTATAATTGGTCCAGCTTGCGCTGCCGTGATATTTATAAGATAAAGGTCTTCCACCACTCATACTTTCTGCATGAGTGTTAAACATAGTGTAAAGAGCAGAGCAGAGTTGTAGTGCACTACAACCAAAGTTTCTCCGAGGGATTGCAACAAATCCCCGATCTTTAAAGTTTGTTTTACCTTAACTGGGACGACTGGAAATGGCTTTGAGTGGAACGATTTTACCGTCTATTTCCACATTTTCGGCGCAGAAGGAAAAATGCTGGGAGAACGTGAGTATTGTTTTCTATTTATTTATTTTCACGTCATTGTTATGTCTAAGTGGTTTCATGCTATATTAAATCTGCTTTTGTTCATATTTACGCTGTAATTTCTACAAACGTTTTTCTTTTTTAAAACAAGTTAGCTAACTTGAATAAAGTTAGCCAGCGTGAGGAATGTTTGTTTATGTTTTTAACTAAATAGCGAGTTTGTAACTATAGCAACAGCCACTCGATCGATAAACCAATACTTTTTTCAATCTATATTCTATTAACACATTACAATATAAGCTAAAACAGTGTTTTATTTCGAATAGTAGCCTATTTGTGTACTGCAAACACATTTATAAAGCATACTATTAACTTTTTTGTGCTCTTAAAATGTTTAAAATCAAAACTAATCGAAATCAACCTGTTTCATTGCAGAGGTGGAAGGATGAACTGGACAGGTCCATGCATCTCAGCTGCATAGCTGACCTATCTAACATGGACAACCTCAACAGAATAACAGACGACGAAGATCTTGACAAGTACCTGGATCTGGAGTTTATACTGGCCAACACTGCAGGTTCTGACAATCTCGGACTCGGCATGGCAGGCGACTACAGAATGCAAGAGTCCAGAAACATGTACAACCCGACTACATACTCGGTGCCTGAGATCAACCCATCACCACCTCCACCGTACACCACCAGCCTCATGGCAGAGCTTCTGCAGTCTGACATTGACACCTACTGCCAACCGTCTCTCCAGGGAAGATTCCTAGTCAGGCCTGCTTTCCCCACTCAGGACATTTCGGAGTGTATCAAAGTGGAGCCCTGCATGGATAGTTACGGACCTGTACGAGGAATGGTTCCCAAAGTCAAACAAGAGGGCAACGGTGCATGCATGAGATCCTATGAGCAGCCAAGACTAGCCAACTCTCCCCAGGGAGCAGGCAGCATGACTCCCCCACAGAGCCCTGCGGAGCTCATCAACACAGACTGTCAGTCACACTCGCAGATGTGCCATGCCTTAACGTTCAGCCAGAGCTATCAAGGCAACACAGGATTTCCCCACGCAGCACCTCCACAGATGCAGCTGCCTTACCAAAGCACACATCACTTCAGCATGTGCGACGATGGGCTTGCAATGCCCAACGCCAACCAAAGAGTACTTCTGACACCACCCTCATCTCCTCTAGAGCTGGACGCCAAACCAAAGAGGGGGCGCCGCACGTGGCCGAGGAAACGCACGGCGACTCACACTTGCACTTTTTCTGGATGTGGCAAAACTTACACAAAAAGTTCTCACTTGAAGGCTCATCACAGAACACACACAGGTAAATAAACGCCACTTGTTTTGTGTTTTCGTAAGATCTATCATAATTAAGTTATAATTAATCTAAAACTGGACAGATTTTAATGAATCCTCTCTTCTTTCATAGGCGAGAAGCCCTATCATTGCAGTTGGGAAGGCTGTGGGTGGAAGTTCGCCCGTTCTGATGAATTGACCCGTCACTTCCGCAAGCACACCGGACACCGACCCTTCCAGTGCCACCTGTGCGAACGTGCCTTCTCCAGGTCCGACCATCTCGCCCTTCATATGAAACGTCATATGTAGGAACGGACTCTGGAAAATGTGGACTAAACGCACTGAACAGTGAACATTGTCTGTACCCCCCCCCCCCCCCCCCCCCCCCCCCCCCCCCCTCTTATTTAAAGTATGGTGAAGGGGAAACATGAACTGACTTGACCTATTGCTTGTAGCTGGTTCTACACTTCAATTCTTTACAGAATTTACAGAAACAAACTATATTTTTCGTTTCCAAAGAGCAAGTTCAACTCATACTATAGGCTGGACCTAAACCTCAAGACGGAACTGGAATCAGACAGTATAATGTGCTTTAAGTTAACATGATGTGCTGCGGACATCACGACAGTGCCTTTTAATATGCGTATACATCTCACGAGTGCCACGAATACTGGCGTTTTTTTTAACGACAAATGTATGCTATTGTGTCAAGAAACTAAATAAGCTTTGTAAGACAATGTTTTCCTCTTTCAAAACTGCCTTAAAAGTTAACAAAAGGGGCGTTAACTGAATGTTTTAAGTAATTTGTGCATTTATCGACATAAACGTTTTTATTTTTAAAAATCAGGGTCTTATGGTTTCGTTTTTTTTAAACGCAATTTGTATGCTGTTAACGTTGAATTGCAGACTGTCCCATGTTTGGATGACATGATAAGGGCTATGTGAGTTGTTCTGGACCAAAGCATTTTATGTACATAATTTATACACTGTATATATTGTACATATTAAACTTAAATTGCGATATAAACGTTTGTGTCTATGTCTTTATAATCCTGTCCCCCATGTTATGGGTCTTGAGGGAAACTGCAATCTTTCCCAGCTGCAACTTTGCCATGCCAGAAAGCTGTGGCTTAGACCTATAAATACAAACATTGCATTTACATAATTGTCGAGACTCAATATAGCCATGTCTGGGCAGAGGGCTACACCACAGTTAAAGAGAGAGTGGCTTTTGGAAAAACAACGGAAGATTGTGGGATATCTGAAGGCTCTTTACTGTTGGGGTGAGAATTCAGGCGCTTTAAAGTCGAGCAGATAAACAGACATATCAAGAGCTCAAGGCTGTTTGCCACCAAACTCTTTATGTAAATGCTAGGTTTGCATGAAATGTTCTCGATTAAACAAAAGACCGTCCTCGAGGTGCATCAAGTTGGTGCATTCAGGTCAGAAATCCCATCCAATAATGGCGTCAGAACTCCTCTTCATTTCATATGATAATACTCTTACACCTTTGTGTTTTTCTGGGCCCTGCGCAGTGGCATGGAAATATTATACCGTTCACTTGTTTGAAAGGTATTCACCGCATGGTCTATTTTGAGGCCATGAGGAACTAAAACTGTGTCAATGGATGGTTTACTTTGTGGAGTAAGAAAAACATTTTCATATCACTTTCAGGTTAGTCTCAGATCACTTTTCAGACTTGTTAAATCATTAATGTGTGTCATTTCAGCTTATACCAATCGGCTAATCCTCTGATAAACCTCAACTGTCCACTGCAAATGTGAGATAGCGGAGACTTGACACTATTCACCTAGGAAATGGTTTTAACCTACATACAAAACACTAATGAAACTAGTGATGCAGTTAGGATTATGTTAATTGCCTGGCTTCAAGCCATAAAACTCTCCGATTTCATACGCATAGATAAAATCAACACCGTTTTACGTTCTTGGAAGCAGAAGTGATGATATTATTACTATCTTGAGGGTATTCCTCAATGCGGGCATTGAAACCTTTTAAAATACGAGCTATAAATGATGAGTCTTTTATAAAAATGAAGTGCCCAACCATAGAAACCAATTGATGTTCACTTTCAGGTCTGGGAACAAGAGAAAAATATATAAATACATGGTTTACTCAATCATCATCTGGTAAATAATTACAATTAGGAGATTCTAAGGGTAAAATAAACATCAGATAACCTCACCCTGTAACATTGTGCTTTTAGGTACTTTCAGTAAAGGCACGTTTTCTGACTGATGATGCATATTATGGCAAGCTGTTTTAATATTTAACCTCATTCATTCATTCATTTAGTCCCTTTATTTATAAGGGGTTGCCACTGTGGCATGAACTACCAACTATTTCGATGTTTTACACAGCAGATGCCCTTCCAGCTGCAACCCAGTACTGGGAAACATCCATACATACTCATTCACACACATATACTACAGACAATTTAGTTTTTTTAATTCACCTGTATCGCATGTCTTTGGACTGTGGGGGAAACCGGAGCACCTGTACGAAACCCACACCAACACAAGTAGAACATGCAAACTCCACACAGAATCTCCCAACTGACCCAGCCGGGACTCAAACCAGTTTTTGCTGTGAGGCAAAGTGCTAACCAATGAGCCAACCTTTAACTTAAACATATACATGTCTACTTGCATGAAACTAGTACACATAGCTATTAAATACAGCTTATTCAATAGAGACTAGATAGCTACTTTGTCCCTATTATGACCTTTTATGTTACTATTAGGACTTGTATTTAAACTCTACTGATTCTGAATGCTTAAAAACAGCGTTGGGAAACATTTAAAGTAATATATAAAAATTTTGAGTCACTTAAAACACAAAGGTAACTAAATGTGTGACTTTTTAAGTAATGTGAAAGTATGTGTTGTTATTTCTCTGTTTTTTAAAGATTAAGTTTGTAATATATTACTTTTAAAGTAACTTTACCCAGCGTTACTTTCAAGTGTTACAAATTAAGAAGCAGTTGTGAATAGGATGATTTTTGTCACTAGTAAGACCTAGATACTAGCATTGTCGCCTCACAGCAAGAAGGTCACTGGTTTGAGTCCCGGCTGGGCCAGTTGGCATTTCTGTGTGAAGTTTGCATGTTCTCCTGGTGTTCGTTTCGTCCTGGTGCTCTGCTTGTCCAAAGATATGCGGTATAAGTGAATTGAATAAGCTAAATTTGCCGTTGCCTATGTGTGTGAATGAGTGTGTATGGGTGTTTCCCAGTACTGGGTTGCGTCTGAAAGGGCGAAAAATTCATGAAGTCATCGCTACTAATTTGGAGTACTAATTTTGTTCCAAAGATTACTGATTATTTGTTAACTTAGCAGTGGTGTTAAATAAAAATCTAGCATTGTTCTGATTATTTTCTATCCGTTTGCAGAGGTGCTCAGCGCTGATGGATTTTAGAGTCCTCCTATTGCTTCACATACTGTCTTGTACACAATTTTGAAGAAATCTAATTTAGTTATTTTTTCTTTAACATTCCAGGGCATGGGTTGCTGTTTTGAGAGCTCATGGTATGACTGTTGTTATACCATGGTTTAGTTTTATTCTCTCAAGCCTTTTTTAATTTGATGGGTGCTACAGTATTTAGAGTTTTAGTAAAGATAGCATCCATACTGCTGGTTACAACATCAGGGTCATTTGCGGGTGCATTTTGAAATAAAGAAAGATCAAGTAGGTTATTTGTAAGTTCATTTTTAGTGGAAAGGACGATAGTTTTACCAGGGCGGTATCTGTGCAGATCTGCTAGTTTCAGGTAAACACAGCTTATATAGTAAGAGGTAGTGGTCTGTAATATCATCACTTTGTGGTATAATGTCTACATCAATGACCTCAATTCCATGAGACTTAATTATATCTAATGTATGCTTTAAGTGATGGGTTGGACCAACAACATTTTGCTTTATCCCAAGTGATTGTAGTAAATCTGTAAACTTAGTCCCTAAAAGGTAATAGTATGAATAACCACAAGTACCTAATTATTAATAACTCACATATATAATGATTATGTACTGATATCTAATAAGAAAACACTAAACTGTAAAAAAAAAAAAAAGTAGTTGAATTGAATAAAATCTTCTAGTCATCTGAACTTTAATGAGTCAAACTGACTAAAAATATTAAGTTAAACTCGTTGACTTATTAAACTAAGTTGAAGTAACATCATTTTTACAGTGTAGGGTCTAATGAATAATACTTTTATCTTTAAGAAGGCACCGTAGCTAATGAATACGCAAGAGTAGCTAATAAAAACTACAATCGCGTTACAGAAAAGATGCTATCATCTAAAAAAAATCACTAGTGGCATAAACAATTGACTTAGACTACTTGTTAAAATGGCTTGCCATACGCGGAGTTCCTTCAAAAGCTTGGGAATGTTGTGGGAAGAGTTTGCCACCTGCTGGACTTAAAGGGAATTCCTTCAAGAAATAGATACTGTGCCTTTTTTCTGCTATCAGTAGAGCTTGTCCAAACCTCTTTGTACCGATACTCCCCATAACGTCCGCTGCGTCATTTGCACCAACCTGGGACCAATTCCAGGCAAATCCCCTGCAATAGGAGGCAATAACAATGTCAGTTCCCCTGAAACTGGACAAAACAAAGCCTGAAAAACGATAATCCCAACGGCTGATGGAAAAACACATTTGTGTGACAACATCGCGGCCATCTGGTTTACATTTCCCAGCATACCTCTCTGCCTGACGGTCCTGGTGGAGAGAGTGTCCGTCAGCGCACCGCAACATCCCCAAGGGCAGCATTACTCGCTGGAGAGCCCTTGTTTCCCGGCCCAGCTGATTAAATACACGCCAAAAAATCCAACTCGGGTCTAGAGCCCTTCATGAGAAGATCGAGGCCCGATTAGTCTGCGCGCTGATTTAAATCAATACCCTGTTCTGTGCAATTCTCGCCAACTTTCCCCAGCCAGCTGTCAATACGTTCAGGGTCCCCTCGAATCCAATCAAGGCTTTGGAGGATCCTGTTACCTACATGATTCTAATGACCCCATCCAGACCTTCAACATGTACATGTGTGTCGCATTTAACATACTCACCTTGCTCTGGTAAAACACAATGGTGCATTATTGGTGCACCTGGATCGTCTCACTTGACGAGCAGCTCTTAAACTTCCCAAAAGACATTCGGCCTTTGGGGGTTTGACGTTTCTCGTATTCTGGCTATTAGAAATGTCAAGTGTTTCCAATAACACTGAGCAAAACACACAAAAAGGGAGTAAATAAGAATATTCAAGAATTTTTTGGGGGTGAAAGAATTGAAGGCTCTTTGGCCCATTTCCACTGTTTTGATTCCCGGAGTTCACTAGCACACACAAATTGAGAAAATACCAGTCTTGGAATTTCCTGTTACGGTTAACATTCCGTGCAGGTTCTCGAATGTTTCAGTTTTCACAAAGTTTTCTTGAGCTTCAAGGAAGTCCTCGAGAATAAAGTAGCAATGAATGAATGTTCGTCTTTCAGTATTCCGACTGGATTTCAGATTTTAGGAAGCTTGAAGCTTCAGGATGCAATTTAATATGTAGTGTTATGCAAGAAACTTGGCCTACTCTCGAACTTTAGGTAATACACTTTATGTATAAGTTTAACTTTAAATTTAACTATAACTTTAAGTAGGACAAGTTAAGTCTGAATGACAATAACAGTTTTAAACAAAAAAAATTTTCCGTTACATTTTTGCTCAAATAATTTCGCTTAAAATTTCCACAGGACATTCAATTTTGTGAATATTTTAATTAAAGGGATAGTTTAAGCAAAACGTATTATTTATTCACACTTTCACGGCATTCAAGTTGACTTTATTTTGCAATAAAACATTAAAATATTAAACATAAAAAAAAAAGTCAATGAAATATTTGTACATTAGCTGCAACTGTTCTTGCTTTATAAAACTCAGGCGAACAGCTAACGGCACTTTGAGAGTAAAAACAAAAACATATAAAAGCAAACCTAAAATAATATCCATGGCTATGGATCACACATTG